TCCTCTGATGGCTATCACAATGTGCTTGGAGCATTTGTTGAAAATCAATTCATCAGAAAGGTATGGGTTAATTTCTGGGTTCTCAATTCTATTCCACTGATTAATTTGTGAAAAGAAAGAAATAGAGGAAAGAAGAAAAGAAATAACAAGAGAGAGGAGGTGGGAAGGAAGGAAGAAAAGTTGCTGGCATATTGGTAGGTCTGTGTTGAATCTAGATCAATTTGGGGAGTGTGTCAGAGATTTACAGGATGAAAGGAGCTGTGTGGAAGGGACATCTGACTGTTAGATGATTTTTCCAACTGGAACAGTTCCAGAACAGTCCTGGCTCAAGCACTTAAGGATAGAGGAGTGGGTACTAGCCACAGTGCCCAAGAGAGAGAGCTCTACTCATCAGTGAGGGGCCAGACAGGGCAAGGCGCCAGGCCATCTCCCAGCCAGCAGCTCTGTGGCAGAGAAGCTGTGGGTATACTAACTCAGTAACTCTCACCAACTGAAACAGCCCTCCTCCAGGAACGAGAGAATTGCTTGGTGCTCAAAGATGATGAGCAATGACATTTATTACTACATTGGTGTGTTTGCAAAATGCCCAGACAGGGGCCAGATGGTGGGTGGCAGTGAAGCATGAGACTCTGCAAAGTAGACTCATGTGGGAAAGGTGCCAGATGGTGTCTGGAAACCTTGCTGAGCGTGCTGGGTATTGTTCGCGTGTCTGTGACCCAGGGCTGGCTGAAGCTGGAGGGGATCATGGCGTTGAGACTCTGTTAATCGTGCTAAATCTTATTATTCTTTTCTTAAGAGAGATTTTTGCTATAGGGCACATGTGCTTGCTGGAGAGACAGAGAGAGAGAGACAGAGATAGGAAGCAAGAAATCACCTCCCAGGGGGATGCCACACCAAAATCCCTTCTCTTCCATTCTCTTCTTGGGATTTTGGGCACACATACATGTGTACCTGGCGTGAGTTTTAAGCTGCTGGATCAGGAACTTGAACCATGTCAACTATGTGGGAGGCCAGCGATATAACCATTACACTATCTGCTGGTCTCAATGGTGCTAAATTTTTAACCTCTGTCACTCTTAATCATGTGGAAAAATAAATAAACATTTTTAAAAAGACCAAAAATAGTCTAAATATTTGTGACAGGGTTAAAGTATGGCAAGCCTGTACCTCGGCGTACCACGCATCCACGAAAAATGTATGCTGAAAGGCAGCATTGAGCATGGTGTTCAACATCAAATGAAATCATGTGAAACTATATCCTCTTGTCGGGGATTTTCTCATTTTTTCCCCTTTTTATTTATTTTTGACAATTAAATCAAGAATATTACCAAATACATCATTAGCTTTCTCCATCTACAAATACTTTCTTGTTTGTTGATTTTGCTCTAGTGTGCATGTGCTCACCACTAGAGAGAGAACTCTCCCCCCTCCTGCCCCAGCAGGGAAGGGGATGGCCATGCCACAATTCCTTCTCCTCCATTCTTCTCACAGGATTTTGGGCATGCATGCACATGCACCCAGAGTTTTTTAAGCCCACAGGTCTGGGACTCAAACCATGCAGTCGACTATGTGGGATCCAGTTGCCTTAACTACCACACCACCTGGCTGGTGCAAAATATGTATGATTTTAATGTCAGTTTGTTTTATCTTTAGTAGAAATTAGGATGTTTGGATGAGGCTACTGCTCATCCAGATTAAACCCCAGTATGGCGCCAACAGGCGGCACGGTGGCTAAGTGCTGGACTCCCATGTGTTCGACCATGGATTGAGTCCTGGACCTGGTAACTCGAAAATCACATGCTGGATGCATGTGTGTTTGTGCCCAAAACCCCAAGATGATGGAAATGGAAGAGAAGGGGTTGTGGTGTGGCCGTCCCCTCTGGAGGGTGATTTCTCACTATCTCTTTCTGGTGAACACACATGCCCTATGGCAAAAACCTAAAAAAAAAAAAATTAAAAATTAAAAAAGTCACAGCGTACTTTCTGTTTATTAAATTTGATAAAACAGGCTGGGAAAGTGACACACTAAGCCTCGTGGATGTCAGTCTACACACAGCTAGGAAACTAACTCACTAAGCTGTCTAGCTCTCACAGGGCCACTACCATACACCTTCTTCCCCTGAAGTCATTACAGAATCACACGTGGTCATGAGAAGTGAAGCAGAGAGGGCTCGTGCATGCCCCATCCAGCCCCCTGCAGCCCACCATCAGTACGCATGAGAAGATGCTCCACGTCAGTAGTCCCCAGGAAATGCAATCAATCAGGACCACGGAGAGGGCCCACGTGAAGGCCAGCTGCGGTGCCATGGCGGGACACGATGCTCAGCCATCAAACGGGAAGGTCTGGGGTTCACCTCCTGAGGTCTCCCTGTGCGCTCGAGGTGTGTGTGTGCGTCATTCTGGTGGCCGAGGCTGGGGATGGGTCATGGTGTGAAGACCCTGCTGGGGCTGCCTGACTACCCTCACCTCCGCTGTCTCCTCTCATGGAAGAGTAAGTAAATCAACTTTAAACAAATCTTTTTTTTTTTCCCCCCCTGGAGAGGTTTTTGCTGTAGGGCGCATGCATTCCCCCAAAGACAGAGAAAGACAGAGAGACAGAAAGTGAGAAATCATCCTTCGGGGGAAAACGGCTATGCCGCAATCCCTTCTCCTCCATTCTCCTCTCAGGATCTTGGGCATGCACACACATGCACCTGGAGTGAGTTTAAGCCACCGGGTCCGGGACTCAAATCGCAGTCGACTACTTGGGAGTCCAACAATGTAGCCATTACACCAGCTGCTGGTCCCTAAACAAATATCTTTAAACTAGTCAAGGGAGCCAGTTCCCACATGGCTGACTGCGTGACTCTGGGGGTTTGAAAATCAGACGTGGCACATATGCAGGTGTGCCACAAATCACGACAGGATGGAGAAACAGAGGGGCAGAAACTGTGGTGTGACCATGCCCACTGAGGGTGCTCCCTCACTTTCCCTCTCTGTCTCTGTGCCCTCTGGTGAGTGCAAGCTTCCTCGAGATATAAACAATTTCTAAAGAAAAGAGATCCCACGTCCCATCCATTAGGATGGCTAATCTTAAAACCAGAAAACAAGTGTTGGTGGGAATGTGGAGAAGTCGGCTCCCTCGTGTGGCCCTTGGGAGAAGGTAAGAAACGGGCGGCTCTGCAAGCTGAGTGGGCCTGTGCCCCAGCAATCCACTCCTAGGCACAGACTTGAAAGGCTCGAAGGCAGGGATGGAGCAGATTCCCGGACACCCTCGTCGACAGCAGCACTGTCCACAACAGCCAAAAGGGAGGCGACCTGTGCATGCCGACAGATGAGGGGGAGAGTGAGGTGCTGTGTTCCTGCCGTGGATAGTACCCAGCCCTAAAGTGGGAAGACGTCTGATGCATGTGTGGTGATGCACGAGCCCTGGAGCATTGTGGTAAGGCGTAGCCTCCACTGCGGTCCTTGCCAGTGACAGCAGCCACACTGCGCCCACTCCCTGCAGGCCACAGCCAGCTTGCTCTTTGCTTCCCCAGACTGTTCCTTCCCCCAGCTTTCCTCAGGACTCGATCCTAACAAACATCATTACCCCAAACTCCCTCAGCAACCACTTCCCACTCCTGGGAGAATTCAACTGACCACAAACCCCAAAGGGTTCTGGTCAGCACCGGCTTGGAAAGCGATGATGCAAATACCTTTACTATCTGATGCCAATAGCACTCCCTTCTCACCTGGTGATGCACGTGCGTGTGTGTCCACACGTGCACACACAAAGTCCAACATGACATTGCTCTGGCCATACCCCACCCTGAATTGCACTCGTCCATGATCCCACATCTCTGTCTCCGGGAGCTCCTCCCAGGGGCTCATCGTCTGCATGTGGCCACACCTGCTTGTCCTTCAGGACTCAGCCACTCTCTCCTGCTCCGTGCACCTCAGTCCTCCAGAGCCAGTGCTGCCCCTTGTAGGCTCCCGAGTGCCCGGCACACACCGTCCCAACAGCATCAGTGGTGGAAGTCTGCCCCTCTGCAACGTGAGTCCCTGGGACAGGGGCTGTCTAAGAGTTGGTCTCTGGAGTCATGTGGACCTGGGTTCAGATCTTGGGCTTCTCCAGTTAAAGGCTGTGTGGTCTGGGCATTGAGCTCGTTGTGCTTTGGTTGTCTATCTAAAATGAGAACAGTGGTACCTGCTTTATACATTGTTTGTGAGGCTTAAGAAACAGCAAGGTCCAGCTGCAGTGGCACATGGGTAGTGTCACCCCATAGGAGGCTGGAGACTACATGGAAGTCTGGGATCAATTCCTGCTAGCCACTAGATGCAGCTGCATGCACCTGTAATCCTAGCTAATTGGGAGGCTAGGATGGAAGAATGGGGACACAGCAAGATCCTGTCCAAAATACCCGATGGCGTAATGGCTACATTGCTGGGCTCCCATGTAATCAACTGCGGTTTGAGTCCTGGATCCGGTGGCTTAAAGTCATGCCAAGTGTATGTGCATGCATGCCTAAGATCCCAAGAGGAGAATGGAGGAGGGATTGTGGTATGGCCATCCCCCCAGGGGGTGATTTCTTGCTTTCTGTCTCTCTGTCTCTATCTTTCTGGTGAGTGCACACACCCTATAGCAAATACCTCTCCAAAAAGAAAAAAAGAAAAAGAAAAGCCATCTCTCAGGGCCAAGCAGTGGGTAGCCCAACTGGACCCACAGGGAAAAGGCCCTAGGGACACATCTGGGACCTCCCAGGGCATGCGGGCGCATGTGTGCCTGTGGTCCAGACCAGCTAAAACTGGGGTGGATCATGTTGAAGAGACTCAGCTGTGATCTCTCTCGCTGTCTCTTAAAAAGAAAAGTAGACTCTCTCGTGGCCTCACTTCTGAGGTGACAAAGGAAAGAAGGAACAAAAAGAGCCGTGGCCATGTGCAGCCTATTCTCTGCACAAGCTGCACCCGGGGCATGCCCAAGGACAAGGCTACTAAGAAGTTCATCATCCAAAACATAGCAGAGGCCGCAGCCATCACACATGTCCAAAGGAAGTGTCTTCGATGCCTGTGTGCTCCCCAAGCTGCATGTGAAGCTCTGTTACTGTGTGAGCTGTGCCACTCAGAGCAAGGAAGTCAGGAACCGATCTCGGGAAGCTCACAGGACCAAACACCCCCACACTGATTTAGACCTGTGGGTGCGCCCCTCGCCCTCCACCAAAGCCCATGTAAGGAGTTGAGTCTTAAAGGACTAAAGAACTGTCTGTCCCCTGGAGAAAAAATAAAACACTGATTATACATTAAAAAGAAAGAAAGAAAGAAAGGTAGAGAGAGAGAGCAAATATTCATGAAAGAGTGAGCATGGGCTTGGAGCAGGGCCCAGCCTTGGGAAGTGTGGTGGAGTCTTCGCCACCACCGTTACTGCATCTGAACAGACCTGCACAGAGGAACAGTTTATCAAATGAATGACATTTGGGCCAAAGACCCAGCCGAAGTCACAGAGCATGGGTGTGTGGGGGATGCCAGGTCACTCACATGGAGGCAGCTGGGTCAAGCAGACCTGGGCACAGCCTGGTGGGGAGGGGGCTTTGCTGCTCTGCAGCCCGGGCAGGGAGGGGACAGGGTTCCAGGAGGAGGACACACAGCTGGCAGACAGCCCTTTCCAGGGAACAGTGAGGAAGCAGCATAGGCAGAGGCTGCCAAAGCAGCTTCGTGAAGGTCGGGTCCAAGCCCGGACACCTGTACGAGTGAGGACCCTGTTGGCCTGACCTGGAGCCCTAGAAGACTTTGCTCACAAAGGCAGAGCAGGTTGGCTGGGAGGACACTAACCTTTGTCACTTCTTTTGTCCTTAGGCTGCTGACCGAGCAATCCAGTTCTTCTAGTGGGGGCTTCTGTGCACATTCCCTGGAAAGTCCTCCCCACCATCCGCTCCCTGTCCTTCCCACCTCTGCCAAGGCGTCCTCCTTTCTTTCCTGTGCGTTCCTTCCCTTCCTGCAGAGGGACCTCGAGTGCAGAGAGAGGTGCACAGTTAGGCCAGTTGTCAGCATCTACAGGGCCTGGAGCCTGTGGGACATCGGCTGGAGCCCCCATGTTGGCCAGGAGACTCTGGCCCCATCTTCCTGGAGCTGCATCCTAGGGGAGACACGCAGTACGAAGGTTAAATGCATGGCAGAGTACCCAACAGCAGGCCTGGGGGTCGACCAGGAGACAGCGTAAGGGCAGAGGGAGGGCAGGGGTTGGGCAGGGCTTTGGAGGTGACTGCAGTATTTTGTCTTTGACCCTGGGAAGGTTTGAGCAGAGGCAGGTTGTGGACGGACTTGGGTCTAAGGGACTTTTTGACTGCCCTGAGGACAGACTTGGGGGGTTGATGGGATGGCAGAGGCAAAAAGGAGGTCACTGTGATGGGGTTTAGGTCGGGGAGGCATGGAGGGCAAGGCGTGAGGCCCTCACGCTGGGGCCATCCTGAAGCAAAATTGGTATCCTTTGCTGACAGACCGGATGGGTGAGAGGATGAGAAGTCAAGGCGGAACTGAGGATTTGGCCCTGAGTCTCAGGTCCTTCATTTGTAGAGCAGGTGACATAATTACCACCCCTCGGGGTACTATGGGGACTGAACAAGACCCTGCACAGGGTACCTGGCAACGTTGGGGTTCCAGGCAGAGCTCAACAAGGGGTGGCCCATTGCCCACTATTGGGATCACCCCTATCTGTGCAGCGTGGCCTGCCCAAATTCTGTGCCTCTTCTGAGTCTCCCTCGGGTCACATCCTCGGCAAAGCCTTTCCTAAACCCCATCCCCACCCCACCACCACTGTGGCTCCTGGACTCCTCCTCACAGCTCTGACCTTGATGGCCAGAGCCGTCCCTCTCGCAGGAGGAAGGCTCTCACTGAGTGACAGCCCCTCTGTTCTCAGCACCCAAGAAAGGTCCTGCCTGTAACATGCCCGAGGCCTTCCCTGGCCCTCCTCTGTGCTCCCCATCACCAAGTTCAAGGCTCCACACCAGATTCTCATGCCCTTCCCTCCTCAGGTCTGCCACACAGGAAGGTGCAGGATGGTGGGGAGGTACCAAGTTCGGGCAGTCTGGGCCAGTGCAGGCACTGCCCAAACCTGGGTGACCTGTGGCAAGTCGGTTCAAAGGATCCCTTGAACAAGGCTTCTTCCTTCCCCTTTCCCAATAGGACCTCTCCCAATGAGGAGGGATGGTCAGCCTAGGCCTGAGGGTGTCCTGGGATGTGGGACTTTCAATGCCTCAACCAACACAGTCCCAGGCAAAAGAGGCTGGCTGATCATCCTACTCCTGTAACCACTGAAGTCCTCTTAAGGGTTTTTTTTTTTTTTTTACTTTTGCAGTTAAAATATAACCTATTCTCCGCATACAAATAAAACATTAAACCATTAAAAAAATTAAGATTCTTTGGAGAAGTGGCTGATTCCAGGACCAGGATACTGGGAATAGAAGAAAATCCTGGATGACTTCCCTCAGAAAGCAAGGAAGTGCTGAAAGTTGTGATGCTTTGGAAGGACAGAATGCCAACTGGAGGAATGCCACCGGCCAAATCTGCTGCCATTTGGACATCAGAGTTGACAAGAGAGGAGTGGGTTGTATCTCACTGAGCACAGTTAGAACCTTGGGTCCATATTGCTCAAGAATGAATGAGAAGGATGGCTTCCAAAGGCAGCTCCTAAACTGACAAGGACTGATGATGTAGGAAAGCAACCGGCCTGCTCACAGCTCATTCAGGCAAGAAGAATCAACGGATGCTAAAACTACTGGTCCAAGTTCCAGGGGCGGCAAGTTATCTGCATGGTCTCAGAGTTTCTCCTTCTAATTACAAAGGGAAAACCAGCAGCAACCAGAGATACAAATCAACATCAGCCTCCCTCCCAGGTGCACTGAGAACAGCAACATCTCCGTGAAAACACCTAGCCTCATCTCCCTGGGAGGCCCCATCAGTATCAGTGCACATTACTGACCGACCTGCACACCCCTGGAAGGACAAAGTGAAGGAGACTAAGGAAACTTGATAATCGAATGGGCCAGAGAGACCGGGTCACCCTGTGACAGTGTCTATACCTCAGCGTCACTCAGTGTGGTCTGTGCCTTGGTGTCGTGGTTTCTACTTTTCTTTTTCTTTTGAGAGAGATTTTTGATAGAGGGTGTGTGTGCTGACTGGAGAGACAGAAGAGACAGAAAGGGAGAGAGAATGGCCACAATCCCTTCTCCTCCACTCTTCTCTTGGCGTTTTGGGCACACACGTACGCACACATACTCATCGTGAGTTTTAAGTCATTGAGTCCAGGATCCAAACCATGGTCGACTATGTGGGAGTCCAGCCACATAACCATTATGCCATCTGCTCATCCAATATTGTTTTCTATTTATTTTATTAAAAAAAAATTAAGGACAGATTCTTGCCACATGTGGACTCTCCCACCTCAGACTCCCAAGTCGTTCAGACCACAGGTACATGCCACTGTGCTCATCCATTAGATTGAACTGAGAATTGAACCATCAGGTCCTACTTTGTGAAGCACGTTCTAAGTGGCACTGCCACTGCAGCTGGGTCTGTTACCTTTTCTAATATGGTTTTGAGGTCCTTTTCTTTTCTCTCTCTGTTTTTTTTTTTTTTTTTTTTTTTTTTGCCTTAGGGTGCATTCACTCACACTAGGTGGAGAGACAGACAAAGACAGTGAGAAAGTGAGAAATCACTGCCAGGGCGATAGCCGCATTACAATCCCTTCTTACCCATTCTCCTCTGGACCCTGGGCCAGAGAGATGGGCCGAGGGCGTGCATGCCCACGGGCCCGGCAGGATTTTCAAGTCACCACTTCTTGACTTTGAACTGCAGCCAGCCAGTGGGAGGCTAGTTATATAACCATTATGCCAATGGCTGGCCCCTTGAGGTCCTTTTGAGCACTGGCCATCAACCAAGCAAAGTCCTGACTGGAGGGTGGGAAGATGGTAGGTTTAGGTCAGGAGAGACACACTAAGTGAAACCAAACTGTATCAAATTTAAGAAATGTATTACTACTAGGTCCCAGAGAGGTTACTGGATGCCAAAGGGAAGCCACCCAGCCGCTGGAGAGTGAGAAAGGAGGAGAAAAAGGAACTGAAAGGCGATGTCTTTCTTCTTTCCTTTGTTTTGGAGAGAGTTTTTGCTATAGGGTACGTGGGTTTAGTGGGCTTAGCGGGAGACAGAGAGAAACAGAAGATAAGAAATCACATCCCAGAGGTGATGCCCTGTGGCCATCCCTTCCCCTCCAGTTTCTCCGGATTTTGGGCGGGGAATCAAACCAGGGTGGACTACGTGGGGGAGGTGGGGGGTGGGGGTCCAGCGACATAACCATTACGCCATCTGCTGGTCCCAGTCCTGTCTTTATTAAAGTCCATGGATGTCACCTTTAAGATTTCGCTGGGGAGTTGTGCATTGGCCAGTCTAAGGAAGACACAGGGATGAACAGGACTCTAGAGTTGCCCATTAGGTTTTTGGGGGTCAGTCACTGTCGGGTGTTTGGTTTGGATCAGTGAGATAAGGAACAAGCTTGGCAGACGACATCGAGGCCACAGGGCAACAGTGCCACAAATTTCACATAACTTGTGGGTTCCAGAAACGGACGCTGCTGCAGCAACTACACGAAACGCGCCTTGACGACAACAGTGTTTCTGCAAATGTCTATCACGACCGCAATACACTGTGAGGGCCCGAGGGGAAGACACAAAGCCGTGCAGGGCTACGCTGCCTTGGAGCCCTAGATGCACGCCCTCCGCTCTCCGATCCTCTCCACGTCCCCACCCACTGACGTCCTCAGTCTCCGTGGTCCCATCGCGAGTTGGACACCGACGCTTCAGGACGCCTCCAGCACTCGAAGTGGCCGGGGATCTATCCGCATCTCTCGGCCAGTGCTCAGAACCCCGCCCCCGGGCAGGCGGGGATCCACCCCTTTAGCCCTCGCCGACGCTGTCCTCAGG